CAGAAAAATAGATTGCATTACCTAAACAGACAACCTTTTTAAACAACCTTTAACTCTATCCATTAATCGGGCTAGTAAGAGTGCAGACAATAGTTCCAGGCGTGGAATTGTTCGTCCTCGTGATGGAGCAACTTGTGTCTTAGATGCTACAAACCTTATAAAATGATGTGTTGGTTTTAATCACCAAATAAATGACAGCTGCGTACACTTTCTTAGAGGCATCACAGAACCCATAAAGACGTTGAGATATTATCTCATCTTTGATATCAGCATAATAACTTTGAGATATATGAATATGTGGACATTTTCTAAGACTATTAATCAAGACATTCTATTCATCCAGTAGTGGGCCAGATATAGGCTCATCCCACGCCACATTTGCTTCACACAATTCCTGGAATAATACCTTAAATTGAATTACAATAGGTGATAGAAACCCAATTGGATCAAAGAATATCCCTACTGTATGAACTACAAGTCTCTTGGTCACTTCTGTTCCTTGCATGTTATGCAATATTCCAAGAGATTTCATTTCCCAGAAGGATCTCAATTGCTCATCAAGACTCTTCAACCCACTCACCTGGAAAGTGTGAGTAATAAGAGTAGCTGAGTCATCCTGACCATATACTAAAGTGGCTGGTCCTGAAAGTACCCAACCTATCCTAGTTTCCATAGCTATGGGACCACCATACCCACGCCTTATCCTACCAGTAGCTAGGCTCCAATAATAACCCATTCCAACTAATATATCGATTTCCCTCTCTTCTCCACAGAAAGGGTCAGCAAGATTCAATGAAGATAACTGATCTAAGCGATCAAGGCTAAGCTGTGCTGTCTTGCCAGAAAGTGGCTCACATATAATAGGCACTGCAAATAAACGCAACTTCAATACTGATCCATCACAAACTTCCATTCCAATCTCTACAATCTCACATGTTTTACAACTGCCCCTTGCGAACCCAAAGGTAATAATGGACATTGTTTTCTTGTGCAAGTCTCAAAGTGGTTTTCACTCTGTCTGTCACATATGATCTCTGACTGCCACTATCTAAAATGATACGTACTCTTGCCCGATGCTCAGGCTCTCTAATATTATAAACTGTGGCTTGGGCAGTCTGTAACATAATAGTCTCATTACCAGTTAATAAAGCTGTGTTCTCTGCTAGGCATGTAGCTGTGCTCTGAGCATTAAACTCTCTTGCTTCAGGATTGAGACCAGAACTGGTACCAGAAAACTTCTCTTCTAGAGGCTGTTGCGCATGCTTATCAGAGTCGTTTCTCGGGCATATACTAATGTGATGTCTGTTACCACACTTGCTACATTTAATGCTTGATCGACATGCTACACTGACATGACCTCTTTTGAGACCAACAAAACACCTACGAGCCATTCTCAAAAGTTGCTTCCGTGATTCTGGTGAGGTTACCTTGGGACACGAATTATGGCTATGGTTATGTTGACAGTAACAGCATTTTATGACACGATCTCCTGTGTACAGCGCAGCGGAAGTTGGCTGTTCTCTATGAGTTTTCCCATGGGCTTGATTGGCCGCTGCAGTCCTCTCTCTAGCCTCTATCTCCTTCACTAGAGTCTCCATAAGAGACACTAGCATCCAGTCATCACTTGATAACAGGCGGCTAATAAGTAACTGCATTTCAGTAGGCAGTTTCTTAACAAGAACAGAGGACAGCAAGCTTCCATATGATTCAGAATCAACCCCAAGTGCCTTTAAGGGTGCTGCATCACTGCCCACGCAATTTTTTAAATCTGTTGCTAAGGGAGCTGTTTCTCCCAAAGTACTTTACCAATCATAATGAAACCAGTACTAGTTACAAGACAGTAATTAAATAAGTTAGGAAGCTACCTTGGAGCCTTTAACTCATAATAGCTATGGCATCAAGAGCTAAAATACTAAAGATTTTTCAAAAGCGAAAACTCCTTTTACTTTCAATTTGAATAACCAGATTTCTAGGTGAAAGCAGTTTTTAACCAAACAAATTGATTAACATAGAGATATTTCTCCTTTCCTACTAGTAATGCCACTTAGTTTCATTTTCATATGGCTCAACACCACATTTTCCTATATTAGCCCTGTTTAATTCCAAAATCTCTATGTTACTGTATGTGTAATCATGTAAAGAGGCTCTATTGTAAATTTGGTCTGATTCTGATCACTACAGGTAAAGTTTTTCGAAAGTTTGCATTTTTCTGGCATAAAACACCAATTTCAAAATCTAAACTTCATTTTACAGCTTTATATATTTCCAGTCCTTTTCTTAAAGGTTTTTCATTCAAATAAAACCCATTTTTAGAGGAGCATAAAGAACCTAATAAGATTCTTATATGGGACACTTCTATGGCTTAAGCATTCCTGCATAAAATAATTGTTGCTATAGGCAGCACACTTAACACACGAATGTGAGTTCCAACTGATCATAAAGCCTTCTAAGGCCTTTCACATTATATTGAGAAGTAACTGCCTCTACACTGAGTAAGGCATCCATATGCATATAAATTTTTTGCTTCTTACTGCCAAATCTCTTCTAAAGAATTGCTATGGCCTCTGTAATTAGCAGTGCTAAGTGTTAATCCAGATATGGCTTCTTTGGCTGACCTTTCTACTAATCACCTTAGATAATTAAATTTGTCTATATCAGATATAGCATTATTTTCATGGACTGCAGACTTAAATGAATGTCAACCACTGAGTCACATCCCCATTAAAGGGACGTAGTGTTATTTTTGGCAATTTAGCTTCACTAGAACTACTACTAACTCTTGGAGTCACAGCAGGAGGGCTTGCCCCAGCTCTGGACTCAACTGCTAACTTCTCAGTAATCACGGCTAATGCCATATACATGCTGGCCTTAAAAGCATCCACCTCTTCTATCTCTCTAGCAAGCTCATCTTCTTCAATCAGGGCCAGTATTTCAGCATCAAGTGTTGTGATAGTCTCTAGCTTCTCTTCCATGCTTCTCTTTAACTGATTCAGCCTCGCCGACACCGTCAACGAGTCATGCTCTTCTATTAAAGCTAAAAACTTCCAGTTCACTCACCATCTCCTTGACAGACTCTATGGCCACCTCTCACTCTCCTTTTGTGAGTAAGTCTTTCCGCCATATTTAGTCAGTAGTTTGCCCAATACCCACATGTGTCTCAATATACTTTATTCAAAAAAACAACAAATAGTATATCTATATATATACTAATCCAAATTGGTACTCACTACTAACTTCAACACCCGATTAGTATAATTGCTGAGTGTCTCGTCCAGCGATTCAGTCTGCGGTCTGATCCTTCGTTCGATCTGGTCTCTAAAAATTGTAAGACGCTTGTCTCATCGACTCGAATAATACTCTATATTACAGATCGATCCGGCTCTTTGGACCAGTGTCAGATTTCTCTCATCCTTAGGTCGCTCCGTGCTGGGTTGTATTTTAATTCTCTGGACTGTATTAAAGAACTCTTTTTTCCCAAAATCAAAATTGTGCATGTGTTTTTTCACGTGATAACAGTTAATAATAGTTATTAATAATCTATACACAATCACTCACTGTACTTATTTATTTTGAATAATGATATCTGATACAATTTTTCTGTAATAATGCTCCATCCTCTTAAGTGTTTTCACTTTATCTACGCCTTTCATCAAGTTACATGAAAATTCATGGAAGCTTTTGTGTTCACGGCCAGGTATATTTGTGAAGACATTATTCTGTGCCAATGCTTTTATTAGTTGTTTCTGGTCTTCTGATCTCCTAGGTACTGAATGCTTCCCTGAAGCATAAGATACATCATTATCTTCGTCAAATGCAGCAACTGCTTCATTTAAAGGGCTAATAGACATACCTATCCTTTCTAAAGTAGTGTCAAATTTGTTGGAGCCTACATTAGGAACACAAAGCTTGACGATTCTGTTGAGGTGCTCCATGTGTAAATCACAGGGTATGTTGCACCCTATACAGCCATGAACAATGACAGACCTCGAGTATTGTAATTGCAATGCTTGTCACACTGGTTATATCCATTCATTCTGAGCTAATGTGTAAAATGTCTCAAGTGCATAGTTCCTGTGGCCTGTCGCTTTAAATAAGCATGAGATACCTCCAGCAGTTAAGGACATGCTCCTCATCACCCTCTCTAATAGCATCTTGAAACTCCATGTAGAGCAATCCAAGACTGAGCAGTTCTTTTGCATACTCTAATGTAAGGTCTGGCTTAACAGTATCTGACTGAGAGCTCATACATATAGTTGATGATGGTAATGAAAGGTCCAGAAACGCATTCACAACTATAGCAGCTAATGAATAAAGCTTAGCCTGCTTCTCCCTCCTTGTAAGCAAATTCCATTGATTATCAGCATAAGCTGGAAAAGAATCATTGTTTTTCAATTCAAAGAGCTTCATTGTAGCACAAATTACATGGGACTGTACTATAAGTATAAAAAAATCTTCATTTGCATTTACGTCATTCTTCGCAACAGATAAGACATTTTTCTATTGATGACATTCTGCAAATGTTGTAGCGTGCATTGATCTGTGGCTGACATGGCTTTGTACAATCGAGCCCAAGTAACCTATCATCATGTAAAAATATAGTAGCATTAATTATACAATAATTGCATTAACTTTAATTACGTTACATTAACATTAATACATTAACATGACATTAACAGCATTAATCATTACTGCCTGCATGCATACTTCAAGTAAAATGACTTTGGTGTGCCAGTCTTCAGCTACGGGATGAAATCCATTCAGCTTATTGGAATCAGTAGTAGAATTGCTTCCGATCGAATGACATCCTCTGCAATGGGCAGCAGTCATTTGATCACCTCCCAGCAGTATTGTATGAGTAACATCAGTTGACAGAGAATACTCCTCGTCATTAACTGAGACAGTTTCAGTAAATGATCTCCTGGGCACATACTTGTACAGATTGTAAAAGATACATAGCACCTCATAATACTTTTGTTATGAATGAAGAAAAATGCCTAGTGAGACCAGTAATACATACGGTTAATTCAGTTCACATTTAATTATTCAAGCCTACCACTTCTGACTTTATACTCATATCAGCAGAATATTTGTGTTCGATGTGAGGAATAGCTACATCTTCAAAATAAAACTTGAATGCAGACAAATTGTCAACGAGTACTCGTGATACTAGTACAACCAAATTGGTGATAAAACTAGCATGAATAGAGGGTGAAGGTAAGATGTCTTCATAGTTAACATTGGTCTCAATCATCGGTTTGAAGCTTGAAAAGGAGGATAAATTAATCCTATTTTTAACTGCATATAAATTAAAGTAGTTGCGTGAGCGAGATTGGTGTTTCAAAGACATATAGTGTGGCTTTACCATTTGATATACATTATCTCCAACAATTTTAAAGCCTCTCCACTGAAAATCAACATCTGTAAAAAGTGAAAATGATTGTCATTAAAATAAAAATAATGCCTACCTTCAGCACTTAGAATTTCTTTTAGCTGAATCTCATCATGAATAATGACTTCAGTATCCTCATCAAGATCCTCATTGTTATCGTCATGCTCATCATCATCATTATGCTCATCATCAACCTCATTGTCATAATCTCTATTTCTATCATTGCACTCATTATCACTATTAGCATCATCGTCAAGTATAGAGCACTCAAAATTTTGAGTAAAATCTTGTGCAAAATCTTCTACATCAGTAACTTCACAAAAATCCATATTTTCTTCATAATCTTCATGACTTATCTCTTTCTCAAAATGATCAAAAACATGTGAAACATCAATTGTCTGAAACTAAAGTAATGAGACACAAATTAACCATATACACATTATATAGCAAAACAACTATTATAATAGTTTTTGTCAATGTAATGTCTATTCAATGATGACTTCAATTATGACTTACAGATTCTCTATCAATAGGTATTTTTAGTTTAAGTGAATCAGACCATTCAATCACCTTTTTATCAAAATCTCTGCCAACTGGACTGAGCAATCTCAAAAGAGTGCTATATGAAGTGCACAAGTGTAGTTTGTTTAAGCGGTCATACACCTATGCAGTTTAAAAAATGAAATCAAGTTTTGTTGTGACTTCATTTACTGTTTAGAACAGTGCCCAGCATAGAGAATTAGTGAAATCATCTTCTGAATAACATTTATTAAACTTCTTTTGAATGATGTTATGATAAAAACAATGAGACTAGTAACACTGATACTATCTTTATTCATCTTATTCTTGCTAGTGAGAATTAATTTTAATAGTTCAACAATGCATGAAGCATGTGATTTGATCTTTTGAAATTAATTTGCCAATGAAAAATCAGCTAATTCAATGCTGATTAGTAAATTAGCTACCTTGTTTGAGCAAAGATGTTGGTTCTCCCTTTTTAAAAAGGCACCAACCTGACCCAATAGTGACTGCAAAAATCTACGATGCTTGATGAGTTCCAGTGCGAGAGATTTCGGTGTTCCCCTTACCCGCATAGAAGCAATTTTATTTTCTTCTCGGAGTCACAAGGTGAGTCACACATGGTGTTTTATAATTAAAGACAACCTATGATTAATGTTGTTGATAATAATAGCCAGCATATACCACAAGTAATGCAGTAAAGTTATTTCTAACAAAATGAATAAATTCTTACAGATAAATCTGGATCCTTCCTTTTCTTTGGTGTCTGTATGGTCTGATCCAGGCATCTTGCTCTTTTATTCCAAGGGTTATCGACAGTAACTGCAGTGTTGGGAACTAGTCCAGAATCTAAAACATTTAGAATGTGGGCCTCTAGCTCTTGCTGCAATTTCATAAACTGTCGTAGCTTCTTGTAGCAACTTTTGCATGCATATCTACATGTAGTTCATTCAATGATGTTCGTAGATGTAGCACATTCTAGAAATTCTACCTCCTTCAATTTCATGCTTCTCTCAAAGAGTTCAAATATCGTAGGGACTACAGATTTACTGGACTCAGAGGTTAAATGTCTCCTATCTCTGTTTGTTGCACCACTGCAGTAAAGACATTTCTCAGCCTTGTTTAACAATGTGGGAGTAAGACGCTGTAACCATGGTAACTAAGCAATAACTATAGACACGGCAATTTTTTTGAGTCTCCCATTTTGACAAATGCAGCATGAGTTGATATTAGGCGTGACACCAGACTTATTAGAGTCTGGCTAGCGAGACTAACTATCTCCCTGCTCTCACTGCTACAACATCTCCCTTCTCCCATTGCCTTTCAATCTCCTTGCTCTGTCTGTCACACCAACTCCCAGCTCTCAGTGCCTCACCATCTCCTTGCTCTCAATGCCACACCAACTGCCAGCTCTCTTTGCCTCACCATCTCCCTGCTTTCATTGCCTAATAATCTCCCTGCTCCCACTGCCACACCATTTCAATGCTCTCACTGCCACGCCATCTTTCTTTTCTCACAGCAACACCATCTCCGTGCTTTCACAGCCATGATATCTCACTTCTCCCACTGCCTCACCATCATCCTGCTCTCATTGCAATATCAACAGCATACTTTTACTGCTTCACAAATGTCCTGCTCTCAGTGACAAAAACATACTAATGTCACTGCCACAATAACACCCTGCTGTTACTGCCATCAATGTCCCTGCTGTAATTGCCACACCATTGCACTGCTCTCACTGACACCATCTCCATGCTCTCACGGCAACACCATCTCCCTGCTCTAACTACCTCACGATCTTCCTGCTCTCACTGCCACAAAATCCGTGCTTTCACTGCCTCACAAACTCTCTGCTTTCACTGCCACACCAACTGACTCGTCTCAGTGCCACACCATCTCACTCTTCTCACTGCCCATCAACACTGCTCTCACTGCAGCACAAACTCCGTGCTCTCATTACTACACCATCTCCTTCTCTCCCTGCCAAAACATCTTCCTTCTTTCATTGCCACACTATCTGCCTGATCGCACAGTTTCATCGTCTCTCTACTGCCATGCCCACACTGTCTCCCTGTTTACAATGCCACACAATCACCCTGCTCTCACTGCCACACCATCTTCCTGCTCTCACTGCCACACCAACTCTCTGCTCTTACTAAAACACCTTTTCACTTCTGTCTCTGGCACAAGTCCCAGCTCGCACTGCCACACCAAATCCCTGTTCTCACTGCCACACCATCTCCCTGCTCTCTCTGCCACACAATTCTTTGCACAAAATGCTACACCGTCTCCCTAATCCCATAGCCTCAACATCTCCCTGCTCCCTTTGTTACATCAACTTCCTGCTTTTGTTGCCTCATTATCTCCATGTTCGCACGGCCACTCTATCTTTCTGCATACATGGCCAAATCACCTCACTGCTCTCACTGCAAATAGAACTCCCTGCTATCACTGCCATTTACACAATCTGCCAGGTCTCACTGCCACAACATCTCACTGCCTCACAATCTCCATGCTTCCACTGCCACACCATCTTCCACCTTTAATTGCCACACCATCTCAGTGCTGTCACTGCCGCGTCATCTTTTTGCTCTAAATGCCACACCATGTCCCTGCTCTAACTGCCACACAAAGGCCCTGCTCTCATTGCCACACCAACTTTCTGCTCTCAGTGCCACACTATCTCCCAGCTCTCTATGCCACACTATCTTCCAGTTCTCACTGCCACACCATCTGTCATCTCTCACTGCCACACCAACACTCCTCTAACTGCCACTATGAGTCAATACTCTCTTTGCCTCACAAACTCCCTGCTCTCTCTTCCACACAGCCTTTCTCCTCTCACTACCACACCATCTCATTGCTTTCATTGCCACAAAATTTTCCTTGTCTCACTGCCACACCATTTCTCTCCTTTCACTGCCACAACATCTCCCTGTTCTTACTGCTACAACTTTTTAATGCTCTTACCACCACACGAACTCCCTGCTCCCACTGCCTTACCAACTGCCTGCTCTTACTGCGACACAATCTCCCTGCTTTTATTGCCGCAAGGTCTATATGTTCTGAGAGCTTTTCGATCTCCCAGTTGTCATTGCAACACAATCTTCTTTCTCTTACTGCCACACTATGTCCCTGCTTTGAGTGCCACACTGTCTCCCTGCACTCACTGCCTCACTATCACTTTCCCCTCACGGCCACACGATGACACTGCTATCATTGCTAAACAATGTCACTGCTCTCGCTGCTACACCATCTCCCAGCTTTCATCATCTCCCTGCTCATAATGCCACAACATGTACCTGCTCTCATTGCCCCACCATCTTACTGGTGTCACTGCTACACCCTCTTCCTGCTCTCATTGCCACACCTACTCCCTGCTCTCTTTGCCACACCAACTCCCTTCTCTCTTTGCCACACCATCTCTCTGATATTAACCTCTCACCAACTCCCTGCTCTCACTGCCACGGCTTCTCCCTGATCTCAATGCCACACCATTTCACTACTCTCGCTGCCACACCATCTCCCTGCTCTCACCAACACACCTGTCCATGCCTTCTTTGCAATACCATCTCTCTGCTCTCAATGCCACACCAACTTCCTGAACTCACTACCACGGCATCTCCCTGATCTCATTGCTAAGCCATCTCACTGCTCCCACTGCCACACCATCTTCCTGCTCTGACTGCCACACCATCTCCCTGCTCTTACAGCCACACAATCTTCCTCCTACTGCCTTACCATCTCCCAGCTCTCACTGCCACCAACTCCCCATTTTCAAAGCCGTACTATCACCCTGCTCTCACTGCACCACCAACTCCCTGTTCTCACTGCCACATAACTCCCAGTATCACTGCCACACAATATGCTCTCATTGCGACAACATATCCGTGCTCCTACTACAAATCCATCTCCCTGCTTTCTTTACCACACTGTCTTTCTTCTCTCAATGCCACAATATCTCCTGCCGTCACTGATACACCATGTCTCTGCTCTTGTGTCACACCATCTCCCTGTCCACACAATCTCCTTATTCTCATTGCCACACGTTAATGCTACACTGCCACACCAACACCCTAATCTCACTGACACCATTTTGCTGCTCTCACGGGACACCATCATCCTACTCTCACGGGACAACATCATCCTACTCTCACTGCCCCTTACTCACATTGCCACACTATCTCCATGCTCTCATTGCAACACCATCTCGCGGCTGTCACTGCCACACCTCCCTGCACTCATTGCCACATCATCTTCCTGCTGTCATTTCTCCCACCTTTCAATGCCCAACCATCTTTCTGCTAATACTCCCACACCATCTCCCTGCTTTCATTGCGACACCATCTCACTGCCACAACATCTTTTGGTGCACTTAATGCCACACCACCAAGTCCCTGTCTCTTTGCCACACAATCTGCCAGCACTCATTGCCACACCATCTCCCTGCTTTTACTGCACACTTATCTTTGCTGTCACTGCCTCACTCTCTCTCTGCTCTCACTGACATAGCTACTGCCTGCTCTCATAGCCAAAACCATCTCCCTGCTCTCACTGCCATACCAACTCCATGCTCTAAATGCCTATTACATTCACTGTCTTCCTCCTCATCACAATCAGCACTTGATGGTATGAGCTTCATCTTGATCTAATTTGTTATCTCCTTCCTACTCACAAACAAGACCAGCACTTTCACTATCTATTGCCAGGTGGGTCAACTTATTAGAATCCCCTTCTAAATTAACTTTCAATCTTTTCGATTTACTTGAGTTAGTTAATGATCCCTCTTCTTTTCTTTTTGATAGATTAACTGCTCTCTCCACATGAGACACCATTGCCTCTGTCACTACAGGATTACTTTTTGTACACAAAAATTGTTGGGGCATAATTTATTACTCTGGGATCTTGAGAATAGTTACCTGTAAAATTAAAAGTTAAGGAACATTTAAATAGCAATCAATACTATGAATAAAGTGGCTGGTACATATTGTTGAATAGATTGTAGGCTGCTACTTTTCACGTTTTACTGCTGCTATCCAAGCTAATCTTTGTCTTTCATCCTTAGGAAATAAAAAAACTCATGTTTGACTCTCCCTACCCGTTAGTACACCCCACAGCACAGCAGTAAATAGGCATCTAGCTATGCAAGATGGCTAATTGAAATATTTCGAAAGTTTTCATTTGTTAAAATATAATTTGCTACTTAAGTATTATTTTCGCGCAGAAATCACGAATAGGATCGTTTTTTTCTGCTTAATAATGCAATAACACTAATGGGAATGACATCATAACCATTTCGTATTCTTAGTAGAGCAATACATAAAAAACTCAAAAGTCCATTAATAAGTGAATCATTATGTTTGCTATTTTCATTCTTTTTTTCTTGCATTGCCATACTGAGAATAAGAAAAAGTAATGGTCCATTATTGTTCTGCCTAATAATGCAATAGCACTTACATAAAGAATCAGATCATTACCTTTTCTTATTCTCAGTCTGGCAATGCAAGGAAAAGGACTCAAAATAGCAAACAAAGGTTTACCTATATGTGGAATTTTGAGTTCTTTTTGCATTGCTATACTAAAAATAAGAAATGGTAATGATCCAATTCTTTACATTAGTGCTATTCCATTATTAGGTAGAAAAATAAAGAATCAATTTCACATATAAGGCAATGTATTTAAAAGCATCTATGCCTCTTGTGATATCACATTTAACCATACCCTCTGACGAGAAGTAGCATGGTAGGAAGTAAAAATAAGCATCTTTAAGAGCTGATATTTCAGTGAAACAATTTTTTGGACAGTAAAACTAAATACACATCATTAGTATGGTCAGGCAATCATGATAAGCCAATAGACAAAATACCCTAAAAATACATGGTAGTTACCCATTAAAGACACCAGCCCTATGCCAAGGAAAGAAGAGCCTAAAAAAGTGAAAGGAGAAAAAGATACTGGATCTGGACCATGGTGCTATCTTCTCTTAACCCTTTAACACCGAAATTAATTTTGGAATAAAAATAATTTTCTAGTGGTACTAGTTGAGCAATGCATATTTTTTAAGATCTTGTCCTGCGAGACTTGAAACTTGCTAGCAGCCTTTATGGGATGTTCATCCTTAGATAGAAGAAGTATAATAGTAAATGAAGCAGCATAAAGCAATGCAGCGTCTATTGTAAAGATACTCACCGCTTTTCTCAAATACACGGACTTGGCGAAGGGAAAGAGAGAGTTGTATCATGTTAAGCAGGACCTAGTAGGCAGGATATGAAAGAATGAAGAGGCAGAAGTCAGTGGAGAAGATGCTACGAGTAGAAACACCACTGTGACTGGTCGAGAAGCCATGGTTGCTAAGCCGTTGCTAAGCAAAATGTGGCCACACCTACCGCTTTTCTCCATTGAAATGTTAGGCAAAGCAGCTCTCTCGAGTCGCTCGCCTTTTCTACTCACTTCTAGAGGATTTCACAAGCCAAAGGTAAGTCTAAACATTCTGTCTTTTGTTGTTGTGTCATTTTTTAGGTGACTTACCTCGGCCGCTGATCATTTTGAACAGTTTGGGTTGCGCTACTGGACTTTTCTACCTATATACTCTGTTTTTAGTCTTTGACAATGTTATATATGTTAGAGAGATGAAAGGAGAACCTT